TTCCTGCACTTCTTACAGCCTCTTGATCCCTCAGAGAGGAGCTTTCATGCTCTGCCTCATTGCCAGCCCGGGAATGCAAGCTGTGGTGTCCAGCTGACCTGCCAGAGCTGGGGTAAGCACGAAGGACCCTGCTAGCAGACCTCCATCTCCTCTCCCTCGACTTCAGACCAGCAGAGAGGTCCTGGTCTGGAGCACTGGGGTCCTAGCCTAAGGCTTAGGCTTTGTGGTGCTCTCACTAACCAAATAATGACAGAGTGATAAAAATAACATCACTGTTTATCACAGTAAGCATGTAAGAACCACTTTTTATTTAACCCTAATGTAATTCATTAACTCTTTCTTTAACTAATACCAGCCTAAAGGCCTCAAAATATTTAAGAAATTAAAAATTATCAGGTTTTGAGACCACTCTGCCATCTACTATGAAATAAGAAATGTACAGATGATGACATCTATTCTTATGCCACAATCTTTGGGGGTGTGTCGTATTGCTTAGGTTGCACGTATTCTTTTGTGCGGGTAATATCCACGACATTGTAGAAACTTCAGTAGACAAACAAAAAGAAAAAAAAATCAGGAAGTCCCATATTTCAATCTGTAATGGTCTTTACTATTTCTATATCCTGATCAACAGTCATTGCAAGGGCTTCTATAGTTATAAACCCCACGCATGACTGCTTGGTTTTCCTTAAGAAGTCCTGCTATCCATGAGCTCAAAAGGCTGATAATGGAACTAAAATTAGGTACTGCCCTGTGGTTCTTTATCTTCTCAGTGAAAAGAAAGAACTAATCTCAACTGATGATGAAGTCCCACATTTGGGCTATGAAACAACTGGTCTTGCTGTCTAGAGCCTCTGCACTTCATTTTAAGAATCTGACCTCATGAATTATAAAATTATTTCAGTCCTTCCTTTTCCAGTTCACTGCATGGCAACCAGAAAGAAGGGCTGTTGGATTGGATGGCCTATGCTATATTAAGTCTAAGTTATAGTAAGTCACTCACACCAGATGAATGACTTGCACAACAGAGGGGGAGCCTCTAATGGTAACCTTGGTCACAAGAGCCCGGCAATTCCCAGCAAACAGCCCAGATGTTTACCAGACTAAAAAAGAGCAAAACTGCAGGAAATAAGGTTTGATGTCTTTGAAAAGATTGTACCTACAAACTGCTGCAAACACATTCATTGCATTCACTGAGCAAAGTCATCCGACAGCAAGCTGTTCAATGAGCAGCAGAATTCTCATCACTTGCTGTTTTTGGAGTTTTGTGACCCCTGCCCTCAACACACACACACCCCATTCCACTGCAGCCACTTCAGCTTTCCCCTCATAGCCTTTCCCCACCACATTCCGGCCCTTTCCATCCTCCCAGTTCGTGTCCTCTACTCCCACTTTATCCATGACTAGTTTGTATAGGCGAGGTGCAGCACATCCTTGGGAAACTTTATCAATGCTGAGTGGTCAACTTATGGCTCATCAGCATGTGCAAGGACCAGGCTCTGCATGACTTTCCCTTTTTTGAGGCAATGCTTTGGGTTTCCCATCTGTACACACCAGCAGTGACTAATTTTTCTCACACTACTAGAACTCCAGACAGCCCCCTGGAAAATACAGCCGAAGCAGGCTAAAGGGTTCAAAGTGAGTTTATAGTGCAATACCATATGCTGACCTGCCTTAGAAAACTAGATTAAACCCAAATAAGTACAGAGTAGCAGTGCAGTTCCCAAACAGCATAATGTCCTCAGTTACATCTAACAAGGATCAAAACTTTTAATCATCTTTCTTCAGAAAACCTTTGTCCTGGTTGCCTTTTTACTCAGAAAATGTTCTGATTACATGCATCAGCATCAAGATTTTAAGCTAAAATAGTATATCTCCTTTAAAATAACTCAGGAAGAAATGAAACATAGAACAAGTATTTCTTTAGATGCTGTCTGCTGAGAAGGCCATGTCAGTTATTACTGAGTATTTATAAACACAAATATTCATGTGTAGCAGAGAGACAGAGAGAGAGGAAAAAAAACTCTTTTAGGGAAGCTGGTGTCCTTCTGTGGTTTCACTGTGCTGATGATTCATTTATAGAGCTCAAGATGCTGGAGCACTACTGTGAAATTCCTAGCATGAAGATCAGGCTATTCCCCATGTGCCTCACCCATTGCTCATCTTACCAGATCACTACTTCTTGCACCAGGACTACATGCAGCTGCCTTGTCACATATAGGTAGATTTTGCTCTCCTTGGACATACCAATAAAATAATGAAAATCTCAAGTAATATTTAGCATTCTGGCAGTTCCTTGAAACAGAGGCTTTCAAAAGGCCTCCACAAGCAAGATGTGTCCATTATCCGTAAAGCATGGAAAGGGAAATGGAAATTCAGATATCATGGAGCAGTGTGTTGGATTTGTGTGGTGGGTTTTGATGACAGGGGGCTACAGGGATGGTTCCTGTAAGAAGCTTCTAGAAGCTGCCCCCGCTCTAAGTCAGACTCGCCTCTGACCAAGGCTGATCTAATCAGCAACAATGGAAACACCTCTGTTATAACATATTTAAGAGGGGAAAAACCTACTGGACACATTCTTGGAGAGATGTGGGATGTGAGAGGAACACCTATGTGGACACAAAGGTCAGTAAAGAAAGAGGGGAGAGGGGAGCAGAGATCCCACTACAGTCCATGGTGAGATGGCAGGCTGACCCACTGGAGCCCATGGAGAGTAACAGTGGAGCAGATTCCTGCCTGCAGCCTGTGGAGGACCCCATGCTGGAGCAGGTGACTGTGCCCAAAGAGGGCCATTACCCCAAGAGAAGTCCACACTGGAACAGTTGGTCGCTAGGAGGACTGCACCCCATGGAAGAGACCCACACTGGAGCAGTTTGTGAGGATCTGCAGCCCATGGGATGGACTTGCATTGGAGAAGTTCATGGAGGATGATCTTCCCTGGTTGGGACCCCATGCTGGAGCAGGAGAAGAATGTGAGGAGTCTTCTCCCTGAGGAGGAAGGAGCAACAGGGACAATGCATGATGGACTGACTGCAGCCTCCATTCCCTGGTTCCCTGTCCCCCTGGGGGGGGAAGGAAGTAGAGAAATTGGGAGCAGAACTAAGCCTGGGAACAAGGGAGGGGTGGAGGGAATTTTTTTAAAAATTTGGCTGCATTTCTCATTATCCTAATCTGATTTGATTAGTAAAATGGTGATGGGTTTGTTGTCTAAATGAAGTTGATGTCGTTTTTTTCCCAAAGCCCACTCTGTTCTTTGCTTCTGGCCATAGCTTGTGAGTGAACCCACACTGTCCTTAGTCTCAACTTTCAAGCCCTTTGTTATATTTTCTCCTCCTCGTCCCACCATGGGGATGGTGGGGTAGGAGTGACTGAGCAGCTGCATGATGCTTAAATCATGACAAATGGGGATAAGACCATTTCTACAAGGGACACTTTCAGTGCCAGCTTTCTCTAGCAGCTCCCAGGTTCTGCTGGGAGGAACTCAACCAAGTGTCTCTATCACTGATGAGGTTTGGCATTCAGGAACTGCACTCACATGGTCTTTGCTATTTATTCTATTATTCAGTTTGGCTGAGCCAGTTTCATGCAATTAAAAACAGGAGAAAATTTATCTGGTTCACATAAGAATAAGGTGTTGAGGCATTAAGAAATACTGAATGTTGAAAGCTGACTGGCAAGCAGATGCAAAGTTAACCACAACTATTGCACCAACACATGTTCTTGAGCTTATTGATATGGGCAAATCTGGTTTTAATAATTTATAATGTTCTTGTGCACAGTTCCCAGATGGGCTCTTGGGGGGTGCAGAAACAGAGAGGGAAGAAAAGAAGCTGTCCAACTCTGAGAATCACCAAATAGATAATATAGAAAGACAAAACCGAGAAATTAGCCCAACGCACAACAGATGCCAAGAATAAATGAATTCACAGGCTTATCCAGAGAAATAAGTGCTGTCATTCACCAGTTGTGTATAACTGACTGGAAAAAAATAGGAGAAGATGGGCCAGGAGACATACCCTTTGTCATGACGGAGCGTTCATTTGGCCAGAGCAGCAACAGCTTGGTTACAGATTGACTCCCCGCTATGGGCTCCTGGGATCTCCACAGACCCTTTCACTGTGAAAGAAGCCAGGCAGGCTGTGAAGAATAATTACACTGTCAAGAGCGGGAAGAGACATGGAGGAGGAGACCGTCATTGCAGAAGTCAACAGCCTGCGAGGGACAAAGGAATGGCTAGAAAGGACCGGAGTCAGCAACAATGAGTCCAGAAATATTTTAAGCAAAATAAAAAGTTCTCTCACCTATCATCACCACAGATGAAGTTTGGGTTGGCCAAGGGGACTCTTCCTGCATCTCTCATTCTCATTGCTGTACACACCACACCCATGTTTGCAAAACTTGCTTGGGACACTGGAAGGTCTTCATCTTACCTACGAGTGCTGCACACAGAGTGCCAGCAGCAGATTGAATTGTCTGTGTGCCGATGCACAGCCCTAGACTGGTGAAATAAAGAAACGGTTTTTTAAAAAGTGATATTTGATGGCTTTTTATTTTTTAAGGGGGAAAACCATTCTTGGGCACAGTCTACGTGACATGTGATGCAACGTGGACATGCAGTGACGGATTGTTGCAAAGCTGAGTTTGCTGGAAGTTGTAAAGTGCTGTCTCTGTTTCTGTACACTGAACTGGAGAAAGCAGTCTGAATTGCTAAATAGTGACAGTCTCACCATCACTACATCTGGATGCCTCTCTAAAATCAGAATTTAAGTGAAAAGAAGTATCTCTTACTGTCCTTCCTTCTCCCATGGATAAAACTATGTACAGGTATGCTGAATTTTGCTCTCGGCGTGTCAAACAGTGGCTTCACTAGCGCAGAGCCTCAGATGATGATAATTCCATGCTGCAAATGAAAGCAGTAGGATCACTGCTGAAATGCAAGCACAGATGCCTATGTACTTTGCAGAGCTGCAGATGATGACTGACAAGGCTAGGTTGACTACAGCCTGCAGCTCAGCTTGAGCACTTCCCCAAGCTACCAGCCACCCCCGCTGCTCGGCTGGAGTAAGCCTACAGCATATGTTCTCTGCCCCACACCTCAGGGCAGGGTTTTAGGCAAAGCTGCAGCACCAACAAGATCACTCACGGTGTCAGGGCTGACCAGTGGGGCTGAGAGAGGTAGCAATGTGAAGGAGAACATCGAGCAGACATTTCCCACAGCTCTGGCATCTTCTCAGACCGCAGGCAGTGAGTCAGTAGGGGCACTAGAGACGTGTTCAAAAAAAAGCAAACCTGAGATTGCTGAGTAGGTGGGTTTTTTTCCCCCTCTCCGCTTCGAAAATCGCAGTGTTTGCTTGCACTCATGACCGGTCTTTTTATATATGAAGCAACATAATGTGCTCTGTGGTTTTGAATGTGAAAAGTGTAGAGGGATTTAAAAACACAGCAGTGATTACAAAAAGCCCATGGTAATAGTAGACAGAGAGGAACTGTGTCCAGTTGAGGAGCACAAAGTCACATAGAGTTACATGAGCCAGAACAACAGGGAAAACATAAGATTTCTAAATCAGTTATGGTGCTTGTTTTAACCAGCCAAACCAGCCAACAGGGACTTCCAGAAGCAAAGAGAAAAACAGATGACAAAGACTTTTGTTCATGATTGCCTTTTTGTTAGCTGAACTTAAATTTAACTGGTAAGAAGTAACTTCATAGTTATGAAAAATGACAAATATATACCCTGTGATTAGGGAAAAATTGAGCTGAGATGGATCATACATTACTGTAGGTGTACTGGGAGGATAGTATTAACCATTCATTTTTTATTACATGTTCCTGAATGAAATCTTTATCTCACCAAGGAGATGAAGTAATTTGTTTAATGCAGGCAATAAATCTCCTTGTTTATCTTAGTTTTACTTTCCTTCTGACACACAAGTATATTTCAAGCGCTTGTTTTACGAAGCAGGAGTATTAAATACGCTTAGTGGGTACAGGTACCCAAAGTATTTCTTTCCTACTCCATTACCATTATCAGAGAAGTTGAGGGTAAAGAGGGGGCTGGGGTGGAGGACGTAGTGCAAAACATATGAAAATGCATATAGTACAGAAACAAAAACAGTAAAGTTTCAGTTGTACTTGGCATTCTTCTTTAGTACTTGCTCTGTGTTTAGTGTCACGCCGGCCAGCAATTCTGACTGGCATAAAGGGTTGCTTAGGAAAAAAGTAAGACAAGATAGACTGGTTCTGGATCAGTGAGATCATGGAAGAAGGGATTACAGATATATGAAAAATAAATAGATGCAACATATACTGCTTCTCAGTGGGGGAAAAAATCAATGTTTGAGAACAGGAATTAGGAGAAATCAAGCTGGTTCAGAAGAAAAAGAGTTAATCTCAACATCACC